TCTGGACTTTTGTCATGACCATAATACCCAATCATATATAGCTTTTAAACTGTTCTCTCCATCATCTGTTTCAATGCAGTATACATAAGTTTATCCAATTTAATTTTTCTCAGTCTCACCTTAGATTCACTCTTTGAATAACATGCTAGAAATGGATGAAATAATTCCAAAAGAACTGTCCTAGAGTAGCTGTGAAGAAATGCCTTTGAACTAGTGTGATTAAAAAAACCCTACAATAAAATGGAAATTAATATAAAAAATATTTTGTCTGGCTCATTATAGCTTCTTATTGTGTGTACTGTCAAGTTGGAATGCACCAATAGCTGACCCTTGAGGAGGTTTTCAGAGGCAGTAAATTGCACAGGAGATTGTCCATTTTTCTCCTGTGGAGCAGCTGGTGGATTCAAACTGCATATCTTTAGGTTGGCAGCACAATTTCACCACTAAGCCACTAGAGCTGCCTCAGCTTATTCTAGCAGGCCTCCAAAATTCATGCAAGTGATTTTTATGGTACAGATAAAAGAACAATATGCTGATAACAAGATTTCATTTCTAAACAAAGGTGGGCACTAACTATGCTATTTCTATGTACTAGTTATTTTAATATTATTAAAGTGTAAAACTTTGAAGACACAAAGTAGCTTGTTAATCAATGCAGGTTTAGCACTAAGTTGCTCTTACCTATTTTCCATTAGGAAATCAACAACATATTTTTTCAGGCAGTAGAGGTGGGCATCCACAAGGCCTGTGTGGAAACGTATTCTAGGGTGCCTGCAAAAGAGTAAGAAAGAAGGGGCTTAAAATTTTACATGAGTTCTATTCTATACTACAGCAATGGCCAGAGAACAACTAAGCACAGCAGAGATTGTGTGAGAAGGACACAGGATGGGGCAGCATTCCATTCCGCTGTACATATGTTACAGTGAGTCACAATTAACTCAATGGCCCCTGACAACAACAGGTATTAGGGCATTTATAAGGATCAAGGCTATGCTGCTTAAACCCATATTGGAAGGACTAGAAAATTCGACATCGGTTTTAATTCTACCACATAAAACATCTTCCTTTTAAAAATTCAGATTCACAGTTTATGAGGTCTTTAGGCATCCAAAGAGATTAAACCAAAACTGGTATACCCCAACTGCCCCATTTCCTGCAGTGTTCACTTTAGCCATGTTCTTTTACCTACAGAATTTGGCATAAACTATTAATTTTCTTAGAGTATTTCTAATTTCCTGTTCTTGTTTATAGAGACCTCTTCAAATTACTGAGGAGCAAAGATATCAGTTTGAAAAGTTAGTCAGGTGTGCCTTATCCATGCTATAGTCTTTTCAATCACTTCTTTTGTACCCAAGAGCTGGACAATGAATAAAGGTGACAGAAGAAATGATGCCTTTGAATTATAATGTTGGAGAAGAGTACTGAATATCCCATGGGTTGCCAAAACAATAAACAGATATGTCTTGGAGAGAGTGCAGCCAGAATGCTCCTTGGAAGCAAAGACGACAATGCTTTGTCTCACATAATTTGAACATATTGTTAGTAGGGGCTATTTCTTAGAGAGAGCCATCATGCTTAGAATGATGGAGGTTGGCTAAAGAGAGGAAGACCCTCAACCAGATGGATTGACAGTGACTGATGCAATGGGCTCAAGTATGTCAGAGATGATGAAGATGGCAAAGGACAGGGCAGGGTTCAGATCTGTTGTTCGCAGGGTTTCTGTGAATCATATTCAGCTTGATGGCATATAACATTAACAACAACTCTCTTCCATCAGAGCTTTCCCAGGTGTGCTTCCTCCACCACCTTCACTAATAACCCAAGTAGGTACTACCACAATAGTTGGTGTCTACTTCTATCAAATGACTTTAACCAAATAAATTAATCAATTATCATCATTAGGTCAAAACACTTGCCTAATTCCTATTTTAGTCATGTTTCGTCTCAGCCTTTAAAAATGCCATGCTAGCTGAATAACCCTGGACTGCAAAAAGAAAAAATAGGTAAGTCTTTGAGAAGGTTCAGCCAAAATGCTCCTTGGAGGTAAAGATGATAAAACTTCATTTCACATAATTTTGGGCATGTTCCTAGGAGAGGCTGTTCCTTAGAGAAAGACATGCTTTGAAATATGGAGAATTGGTGAAAGAGAGGAAGATCTTTAACTAGGCTGACTGTCAAAGTGTCTGTAGCAATAGAATTGAGTATGTCAGAGATTGTGAGGATGGAACAGGATAGGACAAGGTTCAAATCTGTTACTCACAGGGTTGATATGAGTCATATTTGACTTGATAGCACCTAAAAACAACAAGTATTGTTCCAATTTATTTTATCTAATAATAATAATTAAAAATATCCTCAGGATTTTTAACTGATTCAGTGATGGTCAATGAAATGAAATTGTGAATATGCAAGATGTATGTGCCTAGATGGTAGATGGATCTTAGCTGAAACAGGGAATACCAGAAGAATGTCTATCTGTGTTTCAATGATTATGCAAAAGCATTTGACTGTGTGGATCACAAAAAACTTTGGCTGGCTCTGTGAAGAATGGGAATCAAAGAACATTTAATTGTGCTAATGCGAAACGTATACCTGGACCAAAAGGCAGTTGTCAGAACAGAGCAGGGTAACACTGCATGATTCAAAATTGGGAAGGGTGTACACCAGGGATGTGTCCTGTCTCCATACCTTTTCAACCTGTATGCAGAGCAGATTATCCAGGAGGCTGGGCTCTATGAGGAGAACTGTGGCATCAGGATTGGTGGAAGATCTATTAACAGTCTGTGTTATGCAGATGACACAACCCTGCTTGCTGAAACTGAGGAGGACCTCATGCACTTGCTGCAGAGGGTCAAGGACTGCAGCCTTCAGTATGGACTGAGGCTCAATGTCAAGAAGACAAAGATTCTCACCACTGGACCAATTGGTAGCATCAGGATGGATGGCGAAGAGATTGAGATTGTTCACAGCTTCAGTTTGCTTGGCTCCCCGGTCAACACTCTTGGCACCAGCAGCCAGGAAATAAAAAAAATGTATTGCGATGGGAAAGTCTGCTGTTGGGGACCTCTCTAAAGTACTCAAGAGCAACGGTGTCTCTCTGGAGACTAAGGTGTACCTCATACAGGCCATGGTCTTTGCAATCACTTGTTATGCATCAGAGAGCTGGACAATGACTAGGGAGGACAGAAGGAGAATTGATACCTTTGAGCTGTGGTGCTGGAGAAGAGTATTGAACGTACCATGGAATGCCAAGAAAACAAACAGATTCATCCTGGAGAGGATTAAACCAAGCAACTCTTTGGAGGCAAGGATTCTGGGGCTTTGTCTGACATACTTTGGGCATGTTGCAAGGAGGGACAGGTCCTTGGAGAGGGATATCATGTTTGGGAGGGTGGAGGGATGGCGCAAGAGGGGAAGACCCTCTATGAGATGGACTGATTCAGTGACTGGGGTAATCGGGATAGGTGTGTCAGAGGCAGTGCGACTGGCACAGGATAGAGCACGGTTTAGGGCTGTTGTGCATAGGGTCGCTATGAGTCGCAAATGACTCGACGGCACATAACAACAACATGTGCCTAGAATGATAATTAGATAAAAAAAAATTATAGTTGATGGCCTGAAATGGGAGATTCAGAAGTAGTACAGTAAGGCCTTTCAGATACTGACAAGGGATACTAGTTTATTGCCAGGGCTGTAGAGAGTAAAATATATTCAAAGTGTGTAGATCGTAACCAACTTTGAGCAGGGCACTGCTGCTGTGGACTCTGATGATCAAGAGATTTGGTTATGCAACATGCACATGGCCCTTGTTTTCCAAGTGGGAAATTATGTTTCTAGTCGGGCCTTGACCTGTAATTTTCCAGATGCAGTTATTATTTCAGACACCCACATCTTGCAAATTCCAGTCTGCCTTGGTGTCACTGCATTAGCCATGAGTGAACTATGAAGAAGCCTTGAAATAAACAAGTGAAGTAAGGGGAGGAGTAGGGTGGAAAAAAGAAGATTCTGATCATACTTGTCATCTTTCTTCCACTCTGTGTTGCTTTGTCCTGACTATACTTTTAAGAAATCATTCTTATGGGTTCTAGATACCCGAGAAGACAAGAATTAATTAATTGAATAAACTATAATGCACCACACTGAGTTCACATGCAAAATACTTCCAAAGGAAATAAAGAAGAAGAAAAATTCAAAAAGAAGGATTATTGTTTAACCACAAAGGTCAAAATTTGCTTTCAAAGTATCTTCATGAAAGTACTTAGCCTGTCTATATAATGAAATGCTTACATCTGTTCCCAATGTGCCAGATAAAGCCTTGGCTTTGACAGTCCTTACAAACAACTGCATGAGAGCGTCCAGGTCTGCATAATGCATTCCCAGAACTGCAGTGGAAGAAGGCTTCATTCTGAGTGCTGGTGGCATGCTTCCCTTCAGGCATTAGCCTCACAGTCTGACTTTTCTCCATGCGTTCAGGCTCAAATAGCATCATTCCTATCATCAATTTCATCTTATCCAAGATTCTCCAAAATCCTTTAATTCATGTCCTCTCTGAAAAACCTGTGATTATCAATGATCCTTCAGCTTCTTTTTTTAATTTCCATTCATTCATTGTTTCACTTTTCTCCCCTCCCAACCCTCCCCTCTAGAAAAGTAAAAGAAAAATTTTTTTCATTGTTTTACAATCGCTCCCCCCAGGTCCACTACACTATGCAGCTTTTGCTCTGGACTCCCAACATAACAAAAATACCTAATAACATATCCCTTTTAAACAGTTTTCTCCCTCCTCTGTTTCAATGCAGTATACATTACTGAACCCATCTTTCTCAGTCTCTCCCCAACCCCAATGTCAGTCCTATTTTACAACAGTGGCACCATGCAGTATTTGTCCTTTTGTGCTGAGATACTTCACTCAGCATAATGTCCTCCAGGCTCACCCATTTTGAATAATACTGCATGAGTTCCTTTTTTTAACGCAGTGTAGTATTCCACTGTGTGAATACACCACAGCTTCTCTATCCATTCATTTGCTGATGGGCACTTAGGTTGTTTCCAACTCCTTGCTATTGTGAACAAAGCCGCAATAAACATGGGTGTGCATATATCTGCTTGGATGTCAGCTATGGTCTCTTAGGGGTATATTCCCAGTAGTGGAATTGCTGGGTCAAATGGTATCTCTATTTGCAACTTTTTGAGAAAGCGCCACACCATTTTCCAGAGCGGTTGCACCATTTTACACTCCCACCAGCAATGAATAAGGGTTCCAGTTTCTCCACAACCTCGCCAGCATTTGTTGCTTGCTGTTCTGTTAAATTTTGCTATTCTTACTGGGGTGAGATGATTTAGTTGTTTTGATTTGCATCTCTCTTAGAGATAGGGATTTTGAACATTTCTTCATGTGCTTGTTGGCCATCTGAATGTCTTGTGGTGAAGTGTCTGTTCATACCCTGTGCCCATTTTTCTATTGGATTATTTAACTTTATCTTGTGGGATTCTTCAACTTCTAATACCCATGCAGTATGACAACAGGTGAAGTGAGGAAGGTGCAGCAATCTCACTAGGCCACACTCTGCTCTAGAAAACTCATCCCCATTGATTGAGTTCTGACTTACAGCTGACTCTCCATGGGGTTTTCTGAGGCTGTAAATCACATGAGAGGAGACTGTCCCTCTTTCTTCCGAGGAACTACAGGTAGACTAAAACTGTCAGCAGCATGGCCTTTGGGTTAGCAGCACAACTCACTAGGGACCATGGCAGAGTCAACTATCTTATAT